AGTGAGACTAAATTGAGTTCTTTTAATAATCTATGGTGAACACAGCCAAAACTCTTCTAAGCATTTTCAAAACTAGAGAATGCAAGGAATAAACTTTTCAGAGCGAAATAGCCGAAGTAAGTATTTTGGCATGGCAAACTTCCAAGCAATTGCTAAAGCCAACGCAGAAGTTCACTAACATAAGCTCAGCTGCAAGCCAGCCATGCGATTCCGAACATTGGTCCCATGCAAGCCACAAACGTCTCAAAATTTCAGGCTAATGATCAACTCGATAACTTATCTCATGATTTGTACAAATTTACACTTCTGCTAAGATTGATAACAACGCGTTTCCACAACATTTTAAACATATTGCTCTCTGATTTCGATCTTTATTAGAACTATTTTAAAGAATTCCCGAGTAACTCTCAATCAAAAAACGGAGAAAATTACATTATTGCGCTCACAACCTCCGAAGCACTGCTCCTCTAATGACATAACGCTTGATGATCTGAAATGCAACCATTCCCAAACTGGTGCTGTGTCTGCGCACACACAACGGGGGATAACCGCGAGAAATAAAAAATCAGAAATAACCAACTAAGTAGTACCACGAAACCGGCACGAACTCGACGATGAACCGAGATTGGTTTAAGAAATATAAAGAAATTGGCCGACTGACTGACTGGCATCAAAATAAAAATGAGAAAACACTGCAGTTAACTACAAATTCCGACAAACTGAATACATGAAAAGACTAAAAATCGAAAGAAAAATAAACCACTAGCACTACTTTTCGGCTATATACATGTAAATGGAAGGCGAAACTGGACGTGGCCACGAAAGCGGTGTAAATTGTCAAATTGTGCGTAGGTGGCAAAATCAACGAACCGGCTTGAAATATAAATATTGCAAAAGAAAGTTGATAAAGCTACCGGTAAACAAATGGGAGATGAGGGACGACGAATGAATGGCTCAGGGTGCTGCACGGTTCTAGAGGGACATTAGGTTAGCAAATTTAGGTGAGGATGGAGTTAAGCGATGGAGCAGCTAGCACTACTCCCTCACCACCTCGTTTTCCTGCTATCCAACACTGCCTAATGGCGGTGATCAAACGGCGGTCGGTGAGACAGGACGAATACATTGGACGTACGTATCAACAGCATGCTAGTCGCCAGTCATCATGCATAGTGAGGAAGTTTGCTGTGCCTTATCACTTCGCAGGTTAACTTCTTTCCGACCTCTCAAGTGCAACGGGATTTTCGAGTAAAACGGCGTATGTAGAACTATATATTTTGGCTTTATATCATGAGCAGCGATGAACAGATATCTAGCCTTGCAAAACAAAATTTCGCAAAACATTAGGCCACTAAAAATATTACTATCAAACGTATTCTATAATAAACAAGCGCTTACTGAGCGTTTGTTATGCTTCAGTCTTTTGACAAACTATCAATGAACCCAAGGGCAGATTAAGCCGTAAATCCCAATATGAATGCAAAACTCTTGAGCTTCAATAAGAAGAAGAGAAATCGCTATTGTAAGGTATTGTTGCACTCAAGGAACGGAAATTATTAGCAATATCAAATTCCAAACCGCTGTCAGATAAAATCGCA